AGCCTCGCGGCCTCTGTCCCCGCACGTGCACGAGTGCTGCCGACTGAGGCCGGCACTCGCTGGCCGCGGCTGCGTGAGCGGCTAGCGGGCCTTTAAGAATCAACTCTTCTCCACCCCTACCCTCCCCGCCAACTAGAGCTGTTTCCCGGGGCCAGGTCACGGTTCCCGACCCCCACGCGCGGATGCCGCGCCTCTGCCGCTAGACCCCCTCCTCGAGTGACTGGCGCGCTTTGGCAGCGGGGAAGCCCCAGAGTCCTCCCATCCCGCCCCGGCCTAGCAATGGGCGCGTTTTGTGCAGTTGGCTGTGGGTAACAAGTTGCCAATTTGTGGAAATTAGTCAACCATGGTTTACCAGGTGTGCACGAGGTTTTGAATCCCTGTCGTCACCACAAATGAGGTTCGGGGCGCCCTACCGCCTCGGAGCCTTCTTGGGGGCTCTGAAGGCGAGGGCGTCTCGAATCTCCCCGGTTTTAAAGTTAAGGTTGGGACCATGCTCGTCCCTTCTGTTTAGGAGTCAGACATTTTGTGCCGGCCACGTGCTAGTATATTGAAGGGTTAAGCCTCTTCACACTGCAAAACCCGAAGAGTTCTGTTCTTTTTGAGAAGTTCTCAATTTCAGACGTTTACATTATTACTGAATAGCTGTAAATCAGTAGGATGTGGAGTAATTAAATTTAGCCCAAATTTCCAAAAGACAAGTACGCACATAGTTCTTTAAAGTTTTCAAATCTAGAATTTGAATTCCTTGTGCACTAAAGTACTGTTAAAGTACTTGGTTAAGAGCAGTGTTGCTCCCTCCGGGAAACGTAACTGGGCTGGTGTTCCCACTACGTAGAATTCTTTCATATACGAGATAACTAATACATTGCTTTTTAAAAGTATGTAAGTAAGTGCAAGTGTTAATTTTTCAAGAAATCAACTTAGACCTTACCCTCTTGCCATAGACAGACCAGAGTCGTAGCTATTTAATTAAAATTAAAAGGTCAGTTTGACAGTTGCACTATCCACATTTCAAATGTTCAAAGCCACAATTGACTAATGGCAGTACTGGCCTACAGTAATCCAGTGCTTTATTAAATAAATATTTGAGTACCAGCATGATACCAGGACCTGGAAAAGCAGTGCGAACAAGACAGAGCAGCCCCTTCTCTTCAGACTCCTGTGGTGCCTGTTGCACTGCCCTCCAGAGTGTTACAGGAGCCAGCCAAGATTGTGGGGGTAAAGAAAGGCTCCCCTAGGAGCTTTGACAGGGAGACTATTTAAAAGAGGAGTTAAGTGTTTTTGCATGAAAGCATCATCCTTAAGTAAAATGAGACATTCCAAAATGAATCCTTTAAAACCAAACTCAGCTAGTCACATGATTCCTTCTGTTTGTGTGGGGCCACCTCTTAGAGAGTGGGCTTGGCCTCTGCCTCTGGGATCCTGCAGACTTGTCATTTGGGGAAAGAGAAAGTTCTTTCTCCATTGAAGGTATGGGCAGGAGGCTCTTAAATACACAAGAGTATATCCCATGATTGACCTTAATGTCATCAAATGAGATCTAAGTGAGGAGGGTAGGTGGAGATTTGATCATGAACGTTTTAGACTGTCATTTTTTTGTTTTTATAAGACCAAATGGGCTTGTATTTTGTGTATGGCTTTTTTGTTATTTTATTTGGGGGCTTACAAAAGGCCCTGTTAACACTACCTTCCTGTGTTCTTTGGCCAAAGGCTTAGATCAAGGTAAGAGGTTCAGTTCACCTGTTACTATATCATTGTTCTTAATAAACACAGGTATATTCATTAAGTAGGGAGAGACTAAAATATACATATAATTCCATTCTTTTCTGAGTCCAAAACAGCCTTTTATATTAGAGGTGTGTTCTCAGTGGAACAAAAATGACTAAGATGGCTTTTTAAAACCTTCATAAAGAATGGTGATAACCATTTAAAAATATCTTATAGGTAAGGATATGAAATATTTTACATATAAAATATTTGTATTGTCAGTTACTTCTTTGAGAACACACTGTATAGCCCTAGAACATACCACAGAAATTGTTGGCATGAGCACCTTCCTTGCTAACTGTGCATCTCGGAACAACTAGCTTTGATAGTAGCTCTGATTTTTTCATTCTAAGTTAGAAAGCCAAGCAGTTCCTGTGGTTCACAGTCTGTGTCCCTGTGCAACACTGGTGGACAGTATGCTAGATAGACATTTCACATGCCACAAATAAGAATAGTCTTTCCTCAACTTACTGAAAATTTCAGATTTTCCTTACATTTTCCCCAACTTGACATCTATTGTTGAGTCTATTGTGATGTAATTTTGAGCTCAATGAGATATTCTAAAAAAAAAAAATTGGTTACATAGCAACTAATTGGGTTTTTCCTTGTATAAATAATACATATTCTTGAAGGCAAATTAGATCTAGATGAGCCAGAAAATAGTAGCTATAGATAAGCAAAAATTTTAAAAGTAGAAATCTCACACACCCATCTTACCATCTAGACATTCTGGTGTGTAGCATATATTTATTTATGTAAGTAAAATACAGCAAACATCTTTATCTTTCTGTCATTATTATAGCCCCATTGTCAATATATGCATAAATCATAATTTAACCATCTCTATGGGGTAGTTAGAAGATTTTTTTTGCCATTTTAAATAGTACTGAAATGAACATGTAATGTGAATCTTTGTCTTCTGCCAAATTGCTTTTTAGAATGTTTCCCTTCTTTACCCACCAGTAGGGTATGAGTGTTTACTTCATGGCAGTAGTACATTTAAGAACCATTAATACAAATTTGTTTTATTGTCATTTTGAAAACGTTCTTTTAAAATAATAGAAAAGTGGAAGGTTTGAACATTGGTTAATTCAAGATGGAAATTAGCAAGAGTGGCAGGAGTTACTTTCTCTTTCTACATTTTTGGATTATTTCACTTACTACAATAATATATTCTCTAATTAAAAGAATTGAAAAAAAAATTGATAACCAAAAATGATCATCTAATTCCTCTATACTTACTTTTGTCCTCTTAAAACAATTATAACTTGTAATTGGGGAAGGTCACCTGACCAGTTAGGTAAAATTGATCTTTTTTTTAGACTAGCCAGGGGAGTGGAAAGTGAGAGCAAATGGGAGAGGATGGAAGGGAAATCGCTTGATGTCCTCTGAAGCTCCAGTTCTCATAACTTGGCTATGATATAGCTCAGATTTTTCCACGAAAACAAAACTGTTTTGCTGATAGTTATAGAAAACAAAATAAAACAAAAAGTAGGAAATGGATTTTTGTTTTTCATTTTTAAATGTTTAAATTCATGTTTGAGAAAAGGCTAGTTTAATT